CCTTCTCATCGAGCTACGCTCTGCTGTTTGTGGCCTCCCACCAGACTCGACCGACTGCCCCCGCTCCACCAACAAGCTGATTAATGAAAATGTCAAAGTAGGAATGCTGTTTGCTTCCAAGGCCACCGTGCAGCTGATTACCAACCCGTTTGTAGGGCCGATCACAAACAGGTAGGTCTTTGTAATTACTCTGTGTTTCTTTGTAGTCACTGAGCTGATCACCTTAGATTGAGGAGGCATTACGCCTCTTGTCACTTTTGTAGAAGCACGCCAAATATTCATTCAAAAAATACTCAAAGTTCTTGCATCTCTTGCACATTAGATACATTAGATACGTTAGATCCTACATGTTTGTCATCTTAAAGTACAATCTATGTGTATATCTTTCATTTAAATGACAAACAATACTCAGGGAAACAGCATGACGATGGATTTAAATGCATGTGTATCAGAATCACATCAGCTTACTGAGGTAATACTGTGAAGATTCAAGAAAAGATCAAAGGAAAAAGAAAGAGTAACAGAACATGTTGCAAAAAAGATTTTTAAAAAAGACAGAAAATAACATGTTTTACATGTTTAATGCATTATTACATGTTTTGCTCATTAGTTACAACATAAACTAAGAAGCAGCTGCAGTGGAGAGGGGGGGTTACACAAAGTTAGTGTCAGGCTGTACCTCAGGGGCTGGACAGTTCTACATGTGTGGCTGTACATCAGGAGCAGGTCACCTGCTAACCAGCAGCTTTGTGTTTGTCCTTGGGCAAGATGCTAACCAATTATAAATGTGAGTGAACAAAACGTGCCTGCATGGATTAAGGTGTCTGCTTACATCACCACCCACAGCTGTCATATAGCAGGTCTTTATCTTATACATGAAGCAGCACGTTGACATCAGGATGCTCTAACATGCTGCCATATAAAGCGCACTGAAAGCAAACCTGTGGCACCATTAATCTTGCTGCTGTCACCAGTACGCATTTGCATGCATGTTGTAGTGACTGAGCTCAGGAGCAGTGTGTATATGATGAGCGACCTGAGGCACAGCTGTAGCTTTTGTCCCGTTTGCGTCCTCGTGCCTGTTGTTTAAAGTGTGTTATCAGGTATCTACACATAAAGGGGGTGTGACGTCAAT